ACTTTAATAGGCGTATTCAGTTTGTAAAATGGATTCATGGAGTACTGAAAGTAAATAAAATTATACAAAATTATTAATACAACATGTATGCATCGACAATCAATTGGATCAAAAAATGTCATAGGAGTGATGATTTACCTTTATGTAAGTTTCATACATCTCGTTAAAAAAATTTTTGATGCCATCCTCGTTTTTGCTGTCGTGTACCATGATAAATCGAATGTGAGTCGCTGTTACAAATGCACTGACAAACCACTGGTTAAATTTATCCACGACTTTCAAGTGCATATTCGTTGTTTTCCACGTGTGCTCATCTACGAGGTCCAGTGCTGCGTGAGCGATGAATTGATTTAAATGCGAATGATCCTCTTTCTTAAAAAAAAAAAATACATAATATAAGACGTTGACAAGGTGATGTAGAATTGTCCTTAACCTTAAAACAAACGCATGGACCAACCTTTGAGTCTTTCCCAGCATTGTTGAATTCTATCTCGAATAATGGATTGTCGGCATGGCCAACGATCGCAAAGTAATAATTAGCAGTCATCGTAAGCGATGAATTATCACGTTGTCACCGTGATACGTGATTGTTTCATCAATATCGATTTCCCACACACGGCGCAGCCATATTGATTCTGATTATAGTCGAAACGTCGCGCGTTGCACATCACATAAAACCTGTTTTTAGCTAAATGCCATGTAATTTTTTCCTTAGGGAAAACGAAGCGGAAAAACGAAAATTTTTTTCCATTATTTTTCATGGTAAAAATTTTCACTTTTCACATTTCTTAAGGGAAAAAATTACATGATTGATATTTTGTTTTCGCATTATTTATCCTTCCTCTTTTTTTCTCTGACATGAAAGAAAAGGAAAAAATAAACCATAAAGAAATTCAAAAAGAATAAGCCATAATAATATATTACATTTTAGAAAAAAAAGATGGCGTACAAACTAAAATATTCTATTCTTTTCTTATATTATTCTTCTTCTGTTATATTTTATTCTTATTTTTTTCTTATATTCTATTCTTTTCTGATCGACAGTTTGTAGACTGAGCACGGACACACAATCGAATGCGATTTTATCGGCAGTGTCGAAAAGCAGATGTGGTTGTGTAATGATGATAACAAATTCTAAACATACTAGTGGTAATGTAATAGGATTTCGACAGAAAAAGACATTTGTAATATTGAGTTATAATTTTTATTATTTATCCTTTTTTTTCGCATATTGAAAAATACTTGATTTTCTGGAAACTTCAAAATTATTATACCATTATCATATTTATGAATTTTAATGTCGAATTTTAATAACAAGTCGCGTTTTCCATGTTGTTGTCCTTTCAGCAGAATTTAACAGAATTTATTAAACACGCGGATTCTAGTTATCTTCCTAATCATCGGTGTGGTCATAATCGCAACTACTCGCCGCAAAATAACAGAGCGAGATAAAACGCGCGGATAAAACGTGGGCGAGAAACGGGGAAGTAACAATAATAACAACTTCGCCTCGCGTACACGCGCATATTCGAAGGAATTGCTGACAGTCGCGTATAATTTCGGTGCGTCGCGCGATAACGGGGAGATAGCGCGGCATGCGCGAGATGACATATGCGCTGCACGCGCGCGCCACGCATACATACGTGCGCGCGCGCGCGCGCGTGCCGGACATATCGCGCCGACGATCGCTTCCCCCGCGCTCGCCCCCGCGCTCGGAGCTTCCACGAGATACGCGTTGTTGGCGGTGCGCGTCGTCGCGCCGAGTCAGAATCGGGATGGAGACGAGCCATCGGGTGCTCGAATACTTTCCGACCGGTACGTACGTACGTACGTGAGCGTGTACGCGACGCGCACACGTACATACACATTGTACGTTGTATACATTCGCGCATACGCGAGTCGCGAGGGAGAGGGGGGTGGAGGGAGGAGTGCGCGCATTCCCCGATTGTTATCGCCGCGAAACGCTCGCCGATTCCTTTGTGCACCGTTCACGCGTCGCTCGCGATAACATTGGCGCGATGACGCCGTCGCTCGAAAGCATTCGCTTGTGAATAATCCCGCGGAGGTGTCGAGGTGGGACGGAGGGATGCATCCGCCATCGTCGCGGTCGTGGCCGTGGTCGTCGTCGTTGCCGTCGCCGTCGCCGTCGCCGCGGCTGCCGCTCGCGAACACGTCGACCTTCTCGTAATCTTGCAATTGATCTCGGGATCGTTAATGGCGTTCGATTCCGGAGCCGGTATTCCCGACGGAGTAAACACGGTTTTTGCGATACGAACGCGCGCTTCTCGGAAGATCATAGGAAGATTTGCATAACCGGATCCGCGGCTTCTGTGTGTCCGGGTTCTCCGCGGCGGGTGTCGAGAGAGTCAAAAGTTTTTTTCTTCCTTCTCCTCGATGACTCGCGCGGCGAGCATCACCCGGCGCATCGTCCGCGACTGGCAGATACCCTCGGTTTGTGAATGAAAAGATCGACTCGTGCAGGCGCGAGGTGCATCGAGGCGAGGATTATTCCGACAAATAGGCTGCGACACGCAGCTGTGACAAACGCGTCGACAATGCTCGATGGAATTTGCCATAGAACGCGAAAACAGATGACTGTTGCAAAAAAAAAGAAAAAATACCGCCTTCTAATATTACTACCTATTGCGCAATTCCTTTGCATTTTTTTTTCCTTTCATCGACACGGTACTTTTGAGGGGATGCAACGTCACTGTATTCCACGACCTCGCGCTCGAATGAGCGTTTCTTTATCATTCACGCAGTAGTATGCACACGCGTGTAATTACTGGCATTGCGTAATAATGGGCCGCGCGCATATCGCATATACTTATTTTTCTGTATTCGCACCTGGGCTCACCGATGCATTCGTGTTAAATTGCTTGCCTACTTGGAGATGACGTTCCACACGTCTTCGTAGTACGCTGACGGCACTGGACGATAAAAGCTGACTGTGCTAAGTCGTGTTTAACGTCACATGAAAAATTATTTTACGGTTTGATTTATTTTTACATCTAGAGAAATAAATGCATACATAATTGAACAAGTTGATATATATTGTGGAAGATGGCATTTGTCTCCAAGTAGTTTCGTCACTTCTTATCAGGCTTAACTCTGCATGACTCTTCAATGTGCGTCTCTAAGATTGTTCTCATTTCAGATTTGGCCCTCTGAGACTCCAAGAGAGAGATTGCATATCAATATCAATATTACAATTCATCTCTATCAATCTACTCTGACTTGAAGATAAGAAGAGGAGTGAAAAGATGTACTCCACAAAGATTATTTACATTTTTATGAATAATAAGATTAATATATGAGCTTAGAGATGGCCTTGAAAAATTTGTTATCTTATCAAAGTATCTTGTTTATCAGGTATGTGTATTTAAGTATATATTTATATTGCGTATGTAAGAAGTTATATTAGTAATAATATAAGTTTATCTCACAAGTTTCACAGTTGATGTATGAAATTTCCACAATTGATATAATAACACTAATTTTGATATTATTTAACAATGAATTGCAATAATGCTAAAACAATACTAGAAAAAAAATAATATAAAAGCAATATAATATACATATAAAAATAATTGTGTGATGCTTTTTATCTATTTTTATTTTCCTAATTGATAATCATAAAGTCAAGTGTTTAATAAAGTCAAGTGTTTTTATTGAAAATTATTAATATGTTTCAGTAAAATTTGTATCAGTAAGATTAATAATGTATCAGTAAAATGTATCAGTAAGATTAATAATATATCAGTAAGATGTATCAGTAAGATTAATATTAATTTTAACGCAGTAAAATAATGTGAATATTGCATCATTTTAGAATCTTTTAATATTTATTACACTGACTCTTATAAATACTTCACTTTTTTTCTCTGTCTTATTTAATAATATATGTATTTATAATATTTTAGAGGGTAATATTTTAAAGTATTATATCATGCATTTATACAAGCAAAAATGAATGTGAAGGAGATTATAATTTATATTAAAGCATTTATATAACATTGTTGAATTGGATCACAATTTATATTATATATCATGGTGCAGCAGCGGCTTCCTAGTTTTGATGGTAACTATCTATTTAATTATACTATACAAATTTTTATTTAATTTTATCTGTTATTACTGTTTTATTTATATCAATATTTAGCTACACTTTGCAAATGTGAATAGATATAAATTATAACAATTAAGAAATCAATTTCATATACAGGTGGTCGAAGTGGACGGCGGTTTATATTGACGCTCGCTGCTGGAATGGTTTTTGGCTTTTTATCGGCATGCTTGCTCATTACATCTACGAGAGATGTACCGCATATGTTCAGTTGGGTGCCAGGTAACTCTGGCCTCTCTAGAGATCCTCATCATTATTCGGAATTGGAGTCAGAGGTATGGAATGGTATACTTTATATTCTAACTATAATATTTTCAAGAGATTGCCTGTAAATTTCGAAAAAAAAAATATATATTAACTCGGAGTATTTACTCGAGATTGTTTGAAATAAAATCGTTCAGTAAAATAATTGTATGATTATATTTCTCATATAATTTTTGGATGAATTTTCCTATAGATTGGTCCTGAAACAGAAGTGAAATTTCACGGTGATGATGAAGATTTTCATAAAGGAGAAGACAGAATAGCTCAAGATATGGCACAGAAAGTACGTGTTCTTTGCTGGATTATGACTGGCCCGAAGAACCATCAAAGCAAGGCTCGTCATGTAAAAGCGACATGGGGAAAACGCTGTAATATACTTCTTTTTATGAGTTCTGCGGCAGGTATGACATTTTAAATATCATAGGAAAAAAAACTTACGAGACATAGTGTTCATATGATATAGTCATGTTTTCATTTCTAGACACCAGCTTACCTACTGTAGTGTTGCCAGTAAAGGAGGGCAGGGATAATTTGTGGGCTAAAACCAAAGAAGCGTTTAAATATGCATATGAGAAGTACAAAGACAAAGTAGATTGGTTCATGAAAGCTGATGACGATACGTAAGTGTATTCTAATTAACCTTATTTTTATGACATAATTACAGAATATATAAGTAATTCGAAAAGAAAAAGATTTTATATAATAGTTTTTCACAAAAATATATTGATTTTTTTCTTATATTTCGTAGTTAATGTAACATTTTTGTGATATGTTTCATATCATAAAAGTTTTATTTTTCAAATTATATTTCGAATTATAAAGATATGTTTTTAGATATAGGTCAATTTTAAAATAATACGAATTATAGAATAACTGGTATACTCGTAAATACTCCGAGTTAATCTTCTATTTTTTTTCGACTTCTAGAGATTTTCTATAAGAAATGAAAAAATTTGTATAAAATATTTGTATAAAAGTTTTCGAATTAAATGTTCGATTGTAAACTGGAAAAGTAATTGTTGAATTTTTTTTATGTGTTTTCAGATATGTAGTAGTGGAAAATCTGCGATACATGTTGTCATCATATAATCCAAATTCGTCGTTGTACTTTGGCTGCCGATTTAAACCTTTTGTTAAGCAAGGTTACATGAGCGGTGGCGCGGGATATGTACTTAGTAAGGAAGGCTTACGTAAATTTGTAGAGGAGGGTTTACCTGACAAGACCAAGTGCCGACCAGATAATGGCGGTGCGGAAGACGTAGAGATGGGAAAATGTCTTGAAAAGATTGGCGTACGCGCAATGGATACCAGAGATCCTCACGGACGTGGTAGATTCTTTCCATTTGTACCGGAGCACCACTTAATACCAAATCACGTAGATAAGAATTTCTGGTATTGGAAATATATCTATTACGATACCAAAGATGGCTTGAATTGCTGTTCGGACAGCGCTGTCTCATTTCACTACGTGTCACCAAACATGATGTATGTTCTCGAGTATCTGATTTATCACTTGAGACCGTACGGCATTAATCACAGCCTGGAGAGATCCTCTCCGGATCGGTCGTCGACGTTGACCGAATACTAGTCTGTACACTGTCGTAAATAGATTTTAAAATTCTATAAATTTTTGGTTTCTACACGATACTAGTCCATTCGAGCCAACGATGCAAATGTAATATACTTTCAGAAGATAAAAAGTGTGATATACCGTACTTCTTAAATATATAAAGTCTTTATACGTATCTATGTTAAACTCAAGACACTATGGCCATAATGGAACTAGAATAGAAAGGATAGGGAAATATAGTGCAAGTACAATAGATATAAGTCGTGGAGATTCAAAATTTTGATGTTTTTTAGAAAACATGTCGTGTCATATTTAAATTTGTAAAGTTAAATATGTGATAATAACTTCTTAAATATCTTTAACTTATCCTAAATAAAATATATTTCTCAGAACAAATCTCACATTTTACTGTCAATGTATATCTCGTCGAAAGTATTCGTATTTTATTTTCCTTTCTTTTTGAAATTACTTGCTAGATAAAAAGAATATTTTCACGTATTCCTGATAATTATATTGGAAATGTATAGTACTTAGATATAAAAAAGTAAAATGGGCAAGTAAAAACATTACTGGTTTAATTATTCACTTTTGCTGATTTCCTCTTACTGAAATTCATACAAAAATAAAAGATATTTCCTCCACGAGTTTTTATTGTGCTTGCAATACAATTTCTCGTGTACTGCAAATAGAAAAAAATCACATATGTAATTATATATATACACATAAAACTGTATTTCGTAATATTAATATAATAATGGTAATAATAATTTTAATAATAATAATAATCCCAATAATGACGTACTACCCAGTAATAAATACTATAGATACAGAGTGAGTGTGGGTGTGTGAGTAAATTAACCAATTAATTAGGGAGTTAGGGGTTCTATGTACAAGTCATATTTGTACTATGCGACTGACGCAATTGGCCACCGTGGCTCCACTCAGACGCGCCCCACATTTCTCTCTTCGTGTCTTCTTTTTTTGCATTCGAAGTGAAATTGGAGGAAAACAATTTCTGCATAACTGGCTCGTTCTCTTCTCATTCTCTCGCTCGCTTTCTTTCTCTCTCTTTCCCTTTCACTCTCGCGGTTATCTCCCTCTTTCATTCTCAATTATCTAATCTCGGCGATGTCTCACTTCATAAATTATTTAAAAACAATATTTTACACTATAATGTATGTATAATATATAGAGGTCACCTAATCCGAATAAAATTTGTCAAACAGCATCGAAAAATTGCGCTAACGGGTCCAGGAAACATGATAACAGCGACCCAGTGCCGCGCGAGCATAATATAATATTATAATCGTCATACTTATCTCACACCAGGGGCTTGTACGAGGCATCGCTTATAAAAAAGAAGTCCACCTCTCTTTCTTTTTATATCATCTATATAAAATTAAAAAACAACGTAATATCATTTATATTACTTCGTCGTCATTAATAATAAAAGCTTTGTACAAAATTTAATTTACAATTAAAAACTTTTGGTTACGTAATTTTTCTAGAGATTCTGATTTGTAATTCAACTAGCTATCGACAGAGAGGCAATCGAAAATCATTTTCTTATTATGCACTCTCTTTTTCTCTCTTTCACTCGTTCATGCGCGCGCTCTTTCTCTATTTCTCTCGTACTTTTTTTCTCTCACTGTTTCTCTCTTTCATCCTCATTCTCTCTTGTCCTATCTTTCTTTCTCGCAGTGTCTCTCATTACTTGCATCCTCACTTCTACCATTCGCAAAATTCCACATTTGTTTTCACTGACAATGGTCGTATTGGATGCGCAGTTCATTTTTCCTTACGAAATACGAGATACGATCATAAACACAAAGTACAATCTATTTCGCCTGTTATAATAGAAAAATGGTAAAGAGAGTCGCTGGTTCGTTCTCATCAGATTCTGCTATTTCAGCCTTGCATTTTCATTGCGCTACCTTGTATATTGATCAGAGTCCGAGTATAAAAAAAGCTCGGTTCTCTTTATGTATGTTATGGTCGAGAAGGATCGTACTCTGTACCTAGACAATCTCTTTCTCTCTAAGTACCTAACTAACGTAGTATAGGTAAAGGGCATAGGAAATCAGTTGCTCTCGTAAAGCCCCGAGTGACGGTACAATAAGGAGTGCGTGAGAGAGGTGCATATACTGCACTACAATGGGAGAGGGTGTGGGTCAGACGAGAGCTGCTGTCGCATGGTAGAGATGCATGAGCGCCTGTACGTGCACTGGTAAGCAGGACAGTCGATCCTTGGTGTTCGCATCCAGTGCGAGCCACGACAGTGCATTGTACCCTTCCAACACGTACCTGTTGATTACATTAATCACATCATAATATAGCAAATCCTACGCAAGTTTTCGACAAATGTCTAAAAAGCGAAAATTACGGATACAAACCTAAGTACGTCAGTGGTATATTGCGAATCCAATGGATGAGCAGTGGGTGCGTTCTGTTGCTGAAGTAAATCATCGCTGTTTTGTTGTATCGCAGGACTGTGTAGATGTAACGCGTTCTTGAGGAATACCGGGCAAACATTTTCAAGATGTGGACAAGCTGCCCAAAACCATGGTGGCATTCGTCCTGTTGGCGCAGTTGACACTAAGTAACCAAGAGCAAGCGGTTGTTGTAGAAGAGTACCAACCTCTTCTGCTTGCTCAGTTGTCGTTGTCTATAAATAATGAAAATTTGCATATAGTTTTACATTTAGTTTAGTTAGATCTATGTTTACATAGATGTAATAATAATAGATGTGATAATTCCTGAAAACTCTTAGAGAAATCATGCAATGACTCTCTTTTCAAATTATAATTTTTATCTGATTATACGATATAAAATTATGAATATTAATACTGAAATGCAATTATTAATATATTTACCTATTTAGATTACAAAAATATAAATTAAATATATTTCTTAAATGCAATTTTGAAAATAAATTAATTTTTTTATGTACGCTTTGTAATGTTTTCTAATCACTTTTAATATTTGAATATATAAATATTTGAATATATATTTGAATATATAACATCTTGATTTAACTACTTTAAAAAGACATTAGATTTGTTTATAAAAACACGCAAGTTACAAGTCAATATATACGATGTATATCGTACTAATTGCTAATTTGAATGATTGGCGGATTATCAGTAGTTTGCATTATAAAAACAAAATTATTAGAAATTGTTTCTCTGAAATAAAAATCTGTAGACAAATTTAAATTTAAAGATAAAATTTCACAAAATTCCCTGAATTGCAATAAAATTTGATATTTCATAATTTTCAAGAATAAAAAACAATATTCCTTAAAAATTCCAAAATTTTTCAGGAAGTAGATTGAATAATAGATGTGGACAAGATAACTCAGTATTGAAATAGTCGGGTTTTTTTTTTTATACTATCTTATATTGTTCTTTTTCGGACTTACTCTTGGCGTATTGCTGCATGGAAAGGGACTACCAGGACCGTCATGATTGCCTAAACCTGATCCACCGCCGTCTCCTCCATGCGGTGATCCTTCAGGACGATGCGGACTTCCGCTCGGACTTTGTCCACCACCTGCACCAGGTTCAGGCCAAACATTGAATATATCGTTGAAATCTCCCATTGCCTCCATGCCTTCCGGCATGTCATCGTTTAGAGCGGAGAACAATTCGTCGTCTCCTAATTCGGGTACGTTGTGCTGTTCTTGAAATGCAGTTTGCGATGACTAAGGCATCAAAACAACAAGTTTAGCACAAATGCATCTGAAAAATAATGTAATTGAAGTTATTTCTAATCTTCCTTACCTGAGTGGTAGCTGATGTAGGGAAAACAAGTATATGAGTACACGTGACATCTTGAGGTGTGGATAACTGGCAGTTTACGGACGCCTGACTGAATCTCTCGTCGGGAGTGAACTGATCAGCCATTAATCTCAGAGTGGAGTCCGGTTCCAGAGAAACTAAACACGCGCTGAGTACGCAAGGTGCTGCCGAAGGGTACAAGAGGCTACACTGTCCGCATATTTCCTTCAAATGCTTCGATGCTTTCAGAAGTGCTTTTCTAGAAAGTAACCAACTCCATCCTTTCAATTCGCCATGCCCGATACGTCCGACTCGACCCACAACCAGTCTCCATGGTTGTACCTATAAAAATAATGATTTAAAAAGAAAGAAACAACGACACACAGAACAAATAGCGTATAATTATAACAAATATTTCTAAGTGTAAAATGAGATAAATCGATAAGACAAATCGCGGTTTTTCGTGTGCATAAATATTCGATTAATGATTATAATTCATGTAAATTTCCTTACACCCTGAGACATAACGCCCAATATGAAGTCCATGAGTTTTTGAAGTCCAATGCGCCTAGCCGAAGCGCGTTTTCTTCTTTTTCTATTGGGTATGTCGATGTTAATGGTAGCGGTCTCGAAAATTTCGCCTCTATCGTCGGTTGCGGCCGCCAACAGCCAAGATTGATCCTCGCTCAGACAGTAGCTCAAGTAAAGCACCGCGCATTCCTCTGGCCTCGCCATGCCGAACGATTCGGGAGCTTCGCTCTTCGCCCGCAATGGTGCTAGCACGAAAGCCGGTGCGTAAAGGCGGTAAGGCGCCCTGTTCCGTTCCTGATGTATAGTTGCAAGAGTATTACTAAATGACTGAAAACGATTTATATATCGTGGGTTTTTTAATTCCACGCTAATATCACGGCGCACGGAATGGAACTCGGATCGTATCCCCAAATACGTAACAAACGATCGATCAAGCAATGAAATCTTACATCTTTACTCTTGAGGAAGAGATCCGCAGCGGCGGCAGTACCGAAACCGGTGAGGCTTTTCACCGTAGAATTATGATTCAGCAATCGACGTCCTTGTAAGAAAACGTTCAACGCCAAGGCTCTCATCTCATCCTGAATCTTTCGTCTTTCTCGAGCTCGACCCAATTCCATTATGCTTTCTAAGGATATAATCTGAAACCGAATTAATCGCAATTGTCAGAATACTGTGAAATTTAGAATATCAGCTGAGTTTTAAAATTACTGATTCGTCATCATGATTCTGTCAATTTCGAATCTTCGGTTATTACTCGGTAATTACCTGAACGTGAATATTTGATCTCATATTCTCAGGCATGCTATTAATCGCGGAAGAATAAGCTCTCAAGAGAGCCAGAATGGCGAGTCGTCGTCGGTCAGGATCTTCAGTGCCGCCTAACGAGAAAGGTTCGACAAAGTAGACAACGATCGCCGGAGGTTCGATCTCTTCTTCGTCCGGACCTGTAGTCGTAGTAATCGGTGTCGTGTTGCTTGTGGTTTGCGAAGTCGGTGTTGTATTACCTGTTGTATTAGTAGTGGTTTGATTGGTCGTTGTGCTCGAAGAGGGAGTCTCACTTCTTGGATTCTCCCCTTCTACAAAAGATAATAAATCTCGCTACATCTCGATCCTAAACTCGATCCTAAATTTATATCGTTAAAAATGTAATTTATGACGAGACGTACCGACAGATTCGGGTTTGGTCGTTAATACATCTGGCGTAGCTGGCATCGTATCGGAAATGGGAATTGTTGTGGATTGTTGTTGCTGTTGTTTATTGGTCGATTGTGAATCACTGGGATCTAACAAACTACGGTCTTGTATGACTTGTGTCAGATATGGAGCCAATCGATGATTACATGCTTGGGCGTATAGCCTCAATAATTCGCCTATATGATTCTCTCCTAAAAATTTGAACCAATCGTCCATTGGTTGTTTCGTCAGTTTTTGCACGGTAGACTTGCCGACGCGTAGAATTCCATCGCGCAACTGTTTCGAGATTGGCGTGTGTCTTCCTAACCGGCAAATCTGTGACAAATTCAAAATTGAAATCTTAAATTTAATATTTCTTTATTGAACGAATATGTCCTTAATTAAGATTAATCACTCATTAATGTGACTTATTAAGATTTATTATAATACAAAAAAGAAAAATATATAGACTTTGCAAATATTTGTTAGAGAAATAAAATTCTCCCAGATGTTAAATTAAAATTAATTATATAAACATTTGCATTTACCTCATATGTGCAGGACAGCTCCCGGAAGAACGACTTGACTCTATTGACGATGCAATCGCTGTCAGGCGCAACAACCACATAAGCGACATCTCGAGGCCCGGCAAATGGTTCTAGCGACAGTTTTTCCCAGAAGCAAACCGCGTATGGTGATAACGATAACCAATCGCGATCGTATCCGACGACTAGAGCAGGTATCGGTTGTGGTTCGCAACGATCGTCGGTGCCACGGCCGGCTAAACGATGGAACTGTCGCCACGTGAGCGGTCCAGCAACGGTATACGGTGCCTCCCACATGCGAGTTGTACATTTTTTCTGTACCGCATCTTGGAGCAGCGGTTGCAGCGACCTCATCATTCGCACGATGTCGCCGCTACATTGGGGACCTCGCGCCCTGAGGAATACCCATCGGTGGACACCGTTCACGCGCGCTGTTCTTTCATTATGCACGCCGTCGAGTTTGCCTTGATCGAGCGCTGCGACACACACCTCGTTGCCATCGTTGAACTCCAGAGTGTTCACTGTCGGTGTTAACGTCGGGTAACTTTTTGTGGTAGCGCATATCCTAGCTGCTCTATACAGACTGCTAGCTGAACTTTGCACAATCAAGCATTGTTCGCGTAATAACTCAAGAACGTTCGGTGGTATTATGTCGAGGCCGTCTGGAGTGGTTTTCGCTCCGGGACATGCGATTGCAGTGAGTGAGCCTTTCTTCTTTTCCGCCGGATCCTCGGCGACACCTGTGATCTCCATCTCATCTTCATAGAACAAGCCTGCTCGGTGTGCAAGTCGACGATTCACCACCGCGCTAAAACCGCAACTACATCTGATTTGATCGTCTTCCTGGTTGGGCGCAGAGTTTGCCCATGAATTACTGAGGTAAACGCCTGCGTCGGCACCCTTAATATTGCCTACGACCTTGGGCCCAGCATTGCATACACATAAACTGCAGCTATCAAAGTTGTGATCGCGGAAGATGTTGAGTGCGGTGTCACCAAGAAGAATATTCACCACAAGGGAATTTGATTCGGGCGCACGAGCGGGTCCTGGTGTATCTGCCTCAATGCTATTGAGATTTTTATTAAGATATGAAGAAGTAGTGGAAGTAGCCGGACTGGGTTGGTCGTACGGGGGTGGGGGTGGCCTACCGGATAGAGTGGCCGAACGATAGGGTGGCGCCGGACTTTGTGGGCAAGGTTGCTGCTGCTGCTGTTGTTGCTGCTGCTGTTGCTGTTGCTGCTGTTGTTGTTGTTGCTGCTGTTGTTGTACTGATCCGGGTCTAGTTGGTGGAAGAGATTTGTCCGCCTGATTGGTGGAAGCAGAATTGCACTGCCAGGAAGGTCTGTACACGCAGTGCGATGGCAGTGTGACGGATGGCAGAGATTGGCTAGGCAGATTCGTGAGGGGTGCGTATTTGGAAGAACCGACCATCTTACAGATGATCGCCGGCTTGAACACGTACGACCAATCGTCGATTGATTCTTCTTGTGGAGAGCCCATATTGGGATAAATGTCAGGCAGATGTCTGAGTGGTCGCGAAGGAATCAGTAGCTCAGTCTGGTCCATGAGGGGATCGCTCAGCTGGCAAGGCGAGGCAACGGGATTATGCTCTAGAGAAGGTGGAGTTGGAAACATCTTGGATAGTTCTTCCGGTCGTAGAACCGTGACTCCTCGATTATTATTCTTGTTTGCACCATCCACTCTCGTCTCTTCGTGCAATCCACTAGATTTATTCGAACCTGGTGGTGTTTGTATCTGCAGCTGATTCAAATTCTGTAAACATCAATTATGCAACATTTATGTTTTTTGAGCAGCAATCATCTGCTTTTCTCATTTGTATCCTTGTGTCATATATAACCTATTTTTAATTTTACTGAATATATAAAACAAAAATAAAATAAAACTTACCGTTTCATCGCTAGAAGTGTCGGGATCGGAATTGTCGAATATTTGATCTAGATCTTTGTACGATGGCTGGAGGCCCTCGCTGGTGAAGAGAGATCCCGGTTTCGATGGATCGTCCCTTTGTCGTCTGAGACCATCGACATTCGTGCCATTTTCTTCTCCTGTTGCGTCAAATTCATATGGATCTGTTCTTCTTCCGATGCATTCACCCTAATATTACAAAACATAGTTTATCGTTAATATATTTTATAAATATCGTACGAATAAAGAAGCAGTTGAACACTTGTGCTGGAATTGAAGATGGCTTAGTATATGTTTATGTAATCTTTGCAAAGAAAATTTATAAATAACATTTTAAGGAAATGTCAAATCGAAGTAATTATATTTATTTTACATATTCACATTTTTTTTCTTTATGTAAAAGTTCTCAAATAAAAATATATTCTTTTTATTGTCATGTCATATTTAAGATAAAGCAAATCAATCGATCGTACACTTTCTCTTTCAGAGAAAGTAAGTAATTTTCAGTAATATACCTTTAAATTTTCTAAATAAATTGTATAAAATTCCAATATGTAAAATTTAATAATAGTTTAATGAAAAAATTAAAAATTACTTTTTATAATTTAGTAAAAATATAAATATTTCCATTTCAGATATGCATTTAAAAATATGTTTTAATTGATCTGATTTGTTTCAAATTTTCCTTTATTAATAATAGTTATTACTTACAACCGCAACAGGTTCTTGTTTAATTTCCAGTTTAGGAGCTTGAGATTGGAGTGTTTGAGAATTCATCGGTGGATACAAAGTGTTACTTCGATTGATCGGCGGACTGACATTCATAGCTTTGAAGCGCTTCACAGGATGATTCAGCCATGCTTCCTGGAGCGAGTAATCGTAGAGCCAGGACAGTGGTTGCTCGTCCTCCAAGAGAGCGCCTTCGTATTCTCTGGACACCAAGATTGGTCGTTTCAATATCGGTCCAGGAACCGACGGACTATGCACCTGATTGTTGCATGCGGAAGAAATAGACTTGGGCCCTTGCGACGGAGTTAAAGGTGGGGCAGTGTTCGTGTGACTTGGTGGAGGCTGCGGACTGAGAGTCGGCATCGTAGGCTCCGCGGGTGGAACCGACGCTGGCTCAGAATGCGGAGTAAGAAGAGGTGAAGGCGCCGGGGAACCTGGCGAGCCGACCGACGGTACCGGTAAACAATCTCCTCCTGTTGGTGGTCCACGCGAATATGAGGGTGGACCACCTGGTGGTGTACTAGGTGCTTCCGTTCTACTCAGTACCGACCTGCTCAATTTTTAAACAGATTGATTATGTACGGATACGATTCTTACGATTCTTGTCATCAAATAGAAAACGAGATTAGTACTTGTATCGAGTGCCAAAGGAATGAGAGAAAGCATTAAATGATATATTTCGATATAGGAAAGATTAGTCCAAAATGATATCAGAATACAACATAGTGTTTCTTAAAAATAAACTATTGATGTCACTTTAGACCAAATTATGTTCCCTATGTGATGGTCTCGATATAATATATTTAAAAAAATTTAATGTTAAGCAACGATAGAGTCTCGTTACTTTTTCTCAACATATAAATGATATTATCGATAATTTTACAACTTTTGTATAATACATTACCGAGACTATGAATTGATTGAGAAAAGACATGTGTCTGGCTTGTCGAAATATAAAATATGCGTGAACATGAATAGAGATCGCTATATGTTGCAAATAGATGAATATAAAAATCTAGAGCAAAATAAATGCTAGAAATATCGAACAATATTTACATGCAAAGCGTATATCACTTTCAATTATATATTACACATATAACAAGCAAAATAAATAACTAAACAAGAGGAAAATATGCTCTACTAATTATGTGTAAAGCTAGATTCTATCTGCTACTGAATCATGCGCATGAAAATATTTTTAGGTCGATAAATTGAATACGAGAGTTCATTAACAAATTCTATTTCTTAATTTTATTTTGATAAAATAATATAGTTTATAGAAATAATTTGCTAAGAAAATATATCATTGGTACAAACTTGTTATTTATTAACAATAAGTACATACCTGTACTTATTACGATGCAGTACATGTAAAAAGAGAACTGACTATTTTATTCTAAGTATTCCAATGATATTTGTATTTTATATGTTCCCAATGTAAAAGATATTTATCTGCCGTTTTTTTTTCACGCGTGACTCGATCATGTATAGAAAGTCACATGCTTTGTAACTTTGTAAAATGAAATCTGATTAATACGTTACATCGTGCATCGAATTATTTGAATATATTACATGAGGGTGTCGAAAGCGATGAATCTGCATGTGAAGTTATGAGAAGGTATATCGTTATGATCATACGTAGAACGAACGTTATTGCGATGACTGATTAAGAGAAATGACGAAGATGATTTCTGTTTCCCTTCGTGTATCTGGGGGTTTAGAAATTACCCACCTGGGGGCATTAGCAGGGACAGAGGGACAAGCGTCCCACTGGGTGGTAGAGCGTCGGTGAAACGGTACGACCCTCCGTCCACCTTTATCTACCCTCTCCCTCTGAACCTGAGAGGAGGCCAGGCTCTTCCAACCCCCGGGGGTCGTATACCTGCAACCGATGTATTTAACATCTCGTTTCTTTGCAAATGCATCTTCTCTATTATTTCACATTATAATAAAATGACATATATTTGTTCTAATTATCTATTATTCCGATAAACGTTTATAGTTACTTTAAGAAAATGGTCAGATGTAAACTGAAAGTTTTTGACTTGCAAATCAACAAATCTTATTAACTGTATCTAAATTTCATTTTTCAAAAAATTTGATCATTCATATCTCTTTTTTATATTTCAATGACTTTTATTAGTAAATATGGTATTATTTTTTAATCAAGCTTATGTTGTATCATTATCCAAATTATTTATATAAAATAATTATTTTAAGATTCATATTTTTTTAAATAATAACTATAGGAATAATGTTTGCACATTTAAATATCTTGACAGTTTCATAATTTTTCAAATATTATAAAAATATTAAGCAATCATATATTTAAATGTCAAGAAAGAATCAACTATGATTATATGTATAATGCTGTTTTAAGTTTTAATCCGTGCGTTAATTTAAATATATAGAATATGTGATAATTGTAGAATTTGTAATCAATTTTTCCTTTTAAATAATACTTCAAGTCTTTTTTACTTTTGGTTGAAATCATACTGTATCTCATTAATATTCGATCTTAAACAATATCTGTCTTTTTATCAAAGCTCAAATGTAAATGTTATTATAATATAATCTCAATCTATCGATAATCAAATAACTAATAATTAATAAAATTATATATATATATATATTTTTGTGATTTAAAATTATATTAAAATAAGAAATTTAACTTTATAATTTTGTCATGATAAGTCTATCATAAATTGACTATAATAATTACATTTGAGCCATTTTTTTCAAAGACTTCCATGCACACATTACAACAGCCATCACATACTACTACTCGTCTATCATAATTTGAATATTCTACGATTCTATATTCTGTGCTATGACATGCAAACAGAAACCAATATGATGGCAAATATTACTAACATTATTCAACTGACACAATATATAGCAAAAATTAAATGTTTACTATTACATTCGATGTAAAATTGTCCTTGATATACTATTGATCATATCAAATAATTAAAACAATTTAGCAATAAGTTTATTACGGTGTACATAGTAAACAACTAATTTTTTCTAATAATGTAATTGATAAGAAACAGAAATCTAAAGACAGTATCCTGCACGATGCAATAAAATTGAAAATAAAAAGAGATATAAACTCCCGCTGTCCTTACTTCGAACATGAACAGGTACAGGAAGACTTTTGCGTCGGTTCCACAAACGTCCAGGTTCCAGGTTCCATGGAAGATTCTGTCTTGGAAGCAGACACTGGTGAACTCAAAGTACATTCTGCCCACACGCGTTCTGGCAATTCGGTAGCTGCACTTAGTTCCTGTTGCGTTAAGAGGGGTCTCTCGCAAATAATGGGACTACTCGGAGGCGAAAGAGGAGTTTCTGGTGGCGTATCATCCATATCCGTAACTAAGACGTAACAAGAGGGATAACGCATGCGCACGCCACCGACGAGAACCTCCACGAGAGGCGGAAGCCCGGTCTCCGGGTTACTGCCAGTACTGATCGGATAGAAATGTTTCCATTCTTCAAGAAGTTGACTATCCATACGGCTCACTTGACCCGTTAATGTACCCGCTAGTCCGTAAGGAGCTAGGATCACTGTAAAACAAGATGAAGAATACATTAGCATTGATATTGGATCAGCATTTTATCATGCTAAGCAAATTAGCTAAGCTATAGCAAATGATACCTACCCTTAACGCCAGATTGGGAGGTCTGGGTACGTTGTAGACATGTCTTTGTAAGATATCGCACTGCAGGATGCTGCCTAACATCCACACTCGCGCATACAGTGCTTTCTCCATGAACAAAGAATGCAAACGAGAACGACAGGTGGCTGCTGTAAATGTAATTAAAACATGTAAAAATCTACCATTTAAATTTTTGCTGTTTCGCACCGTAAAGATATTTTAATGATAACATGTACGCCTTATCATGTTAAGCATACTCGAAACATATGTATTCAGTTATTCGTGCGTCATTTGGTAAAAACATGTTTAGTCCTTCGTATGTATCAAACATTTATGAATGTCAAATTATGAAGCATAGTTCCGAGTGTATTCACTTCATCTATGTACTTATTTCATAATGTATAAACTTATATATATATATAGATATGTATACGTCTTGGATGTGTCATAGTACGTTATAGATATCTAATTTTAAATGTGATAAAGCACACATAATACCAAGTATTTCTTTACAAGAGAACGCATGTCCTCAGAATAAAATAGCTTCGAAAATATATAGAATACAAAAACAAAGACAATATCTGTTAAATAAGCGTTTACCTGCTGCAACGGTGTTTCTCGTAGCCATTGTAAGGTTGCACAAACCACTTTCCTAAGCGAACGAAGTCACGGGATAGCAAACACCGTTCAATCAAGTTATGCAGAGCCTTGAAGAGAAGTGACCGGCATTCGTACGACAATCCGCTTTCCCAAGAACCTTGCTCGCTTTCTGAAAATGACAGTAAAGAGTAGAACTGTGAGCGAATCTGTCGGGGCGCATCGATCTGGCTTACAATTTTCTTCGTATGATCGACTTCTAAAAATATGCAGGAGTATAATAGTTACACGTTGCTGAAATTTAATTTATTTTCTATTAAGCGAAAGGAAGCGATATATCTCTTTTTCAATCCTGACGATACATATAATACTCGGTACACGACGAAGCAGGTAAAACGCGTTCTTACTTACGCGGAGCGCGCGTCCGAACGGTGGCGGAATTTAGCGTGAAAGTAATGCGATTCGCGTATAAAATCACAGCGACGTCACGTCAAGCGACGGTGAACGTTTCGCAGAAGGTAGAGAAGTTGGCCGAGAAAACTGAAAAGTTCTAGAATCCCGAGTCGCGCGTTCGGGCCAGCTTTCCCCTGATTTTTGTTCTCACGCGAATGAGTACGCTTCGAAATGCGAAGAAGCGCGATAGATTCCACGAACTCGTTTCGGGACACGAACGCAATATCACGTTCCGTTTTCCGCGACTCGAAAAACTTACAACTGTCGAAAGGTGTATCTCAACAAAAAGGCAAACTCCCATTCGACTACAATTATATACAGAAATAATTTAACGACTAAATATAATTATTTAGCAGTCGAGGAACCTCACAATCAAATACGGTTTGACCGAATGGGCTTTTACGATAACACGCAGTTGCAGCAACATTGAGAATCACTGGGTGGGAGAACACGTGTTCTGTCGATCGATATGACCGGAGCCTGAGGGAGTTGCATCTCTCGTGAACCACTAGCCGCGGTGCAGCCGCGGTGCAGCCGCTTCGTTGCAGCCTACGTCTCCCAAAATCCGAGTGTTCATCGAGAAACTTCCATTTCGTGATAAATCGTACATAAAACCACCGATGATAAAATATTTTCATCTTAGAAAATAAAATACGTCTCGAGATTGCTAACACAGACCTATTACCATCCACTCGGAGAAGATAAAGGGGGAGAAGAAAAAAAAAAGAGCGACAATACGTTTATCCATCTTACTCTCACTCTAAAATTAAACTAACAAATAAAACTGAAAATACTCTCTCGCGAAGTGACGAGAGAAGATTGACATCTGATGAAATTGCGAAGCTGCGCTCAACGGGGGTGCGCTTCATCTCGGCTCCCCTCCGAACAATCGACCGTTTCGATTTTTAACCGACAACGCTGAGCTGTCACCGGCCGCGCCAGCTGTCGGCCGTGTTAGTTGTTTTCAGTCTTTAACGGTTCACCGTGCGGTCGACTGTGGTGTCGCAATTGGTGCACTCTCCGGCAGAGCAGAGCGCGGCGCGATGCACAACACGGCCGATCTATACGTTGCGCGCTGCAACGAGTTGCAGACAAGTGCATGGTTCAGCGACCCCGCCGGTCGAGAAACGCCGCCGGCCGGGCCTCGGTCCGGCGCGGCTCGAACGCTGGTCCGTTGCGCGATGACGACGACGACGACGACGACGACGACGACGACGACGACGACGACATAACTGCACACCTTTCGAGCACAGAATAATCGTCCTCGTCGTCGGAGCTTAACTGACGAAACTTGAACAATAAGGAAAAATAAACTTAAACAAGTGAATCAATCTGAACATGCCTCGCGATCATCTTTGTAAAATAATTACCGTGTCGATTAGTCCATTTGTTTCCGTTTTTGTATGCATTTTGTTCATTTACATGTGTATTTTTGTCATTAATAAAACGACAAAATAATAAAAAAAATTAAGAATCCCGACTGTATAATACAAAGCAAAATTTACACATTTCTCATCTTAGATATTATGATTCGATTAAAAAAATAAAAAAAAAAAAAATGAGATCTTTAATTTTTAAATCAAAATTTAAATCATGATTGATTCCTCGATTTAATTTAATTTTGAAAATTATGATTGGTCCGTTCGCTTACTACTTTGTTGCAAAAGTTTTATCGCATGTTGCCGGCTATAGAGTACATAGGTATGTTCGAACAAGATTAGTTCGGCTTATTCAAGTTTTTATTTCAAAATGATGCAAATGTGGCCTTTTACCCGCGATAAAATATAGGAACAAAATGGAGAAAACGTAAAAAAAAATCAGACAATTTGTTCGAGGTTAACGCAGCAACCTACGTCACGCGCAAAACCGGCGGAATCGTTTGATAGCCCGAAGGAAGGAGCGCGCAGTCGAGTGATAATTTTATGTGTGATTCACGGGCTAACGCGTTTATACACGTCGTTGCTTATCGCGGCGATCTAAAGTCTAAAGCGAGTTTCACTTTTAATCGTATTCATTTTTTCCTTTCGTGACTCTGATGTTATTTCTGGTCGGCGATATCGGTAGGATGGAGGAAGAATGTTGTACACGCACAGTCCGTAGATCTCGCGTACAAGATTTTCAAGATTTTTGCCCACTGAGCGCATCCGCAAATCCGTTAATCGCAATGCAGTCCCTTCGTGCCTCTTACGAAACTTCCTCTTGGAAAGTACGTAATAAAAGTTAGCTTAGTCACGGTCCTCTCCGGCCGTGCTGGCGCTAGGTAAAGCACTACACAATCGCGTATAAACATCGCGTAATTGCTACGTCCAGTTGTATAAGATGTACCGTACATCGCGTCTAAATATTACGATTTCGAAACTATCAGGTTGCCGCGCATCAATTAATGGGGTATGCTACGGTAAAGATCCAGAAAAGGGGAAATTCTTAGCGGAATTTTTTTTTTTAATAATTATATAAGTCTTAGAAAAAATATTAATTGGTATATCGAATAAATTTGATATAGATATTTGAAGAATTTTTGTTTTGAAAATATAAATATATATGTGGTAATATTGTACAGCATTGACTCTCATGCTCAAAAAACATGGTCCATCTGCGGAGAGACTTCAAGTTGCAACTATCAGAAATGAAAGATTCTTAATAATTTTGAAATTCTATGAGTGTAGTTTTAGTTAAGCATACGAATTTAAAATAGTTTCCTTTCATAAAACTGTGGCGGTTTAAAATTCAAAATTTCACATTTTGACATTTTTAACTTTTGTTCTGAAAAATTAAAACTAAAAAAAATTCGTACGCTTACCTGAAAGTATTCATTTTTAAAGTTACTCTTAAAACTTAAAGTCAATATTCCAAATTTCATTAAATTCATTAAAATTTCTTCTAGAAGCCTACTTCTAAGATATTAATCTTTCGAAAAAAAAAAAAAAAAAGAATAGGTTTTTTTTTTGAAAATGTGCCGTAACGGACCCTCTTAAATAACAGGATCATCTTTACTCTTGGTCCTGTTCGATTTTATTCCCAGTTCGCCGCTTTCGAGGAAACGTAACAACTTCTAATTAAGGCAACATAATACAGCTGTAAAATTCACCGAGCGCTTTAAAATATGATAAAATAATTCGAGCTATCGCGTCCGACGGTAAATTACCTTTCAAGTCGGTGAGTAATCCCCGGCTCGACTTCCGGAACGAGACCGGTGCGACGCGCGCGTTTCTGGACACACGGTAGAGATAATACTCACCGCAAGCGATGAGCTCCGGCGATACTAGACCGGAGAGATCAGGTTCTTCGCCGTACCAGAAGATCCAGAGCTCCTTGGCGGCGGTGAGGGAGAGCGGTGGAGGCGCCGGCGAGGGTGAGATGCCCACGTCGTAGATGCCAGTTCCGGACGCCGAGGCGGCGGTGGCGGCCGCCGCCGGGCCGGAGGTGACCGGCGTGGCGGCCACGCGTCGCCACACGCACAGAATGTCACCAGCTAAACATCGCGAGAAACTCGACAGTACCGGATCTTCGAGGGGCGTGCCGCCGAAGCCACCGGCCACCTCGCCCCACACGAGTTTCCTCCATTTAATGCCGCAGAGGGATGTCTGTCAAACAAGAACGACAATTAGTAATCCACGCGGGCAGATTTGAGTGAGGTAGGGGTGTTTCGAGGTTGTAGGGATTTGGCGAGGGTCGCGGAATTTTCGCCGGAAATTTTCATCGGACGCCGCATAATTTCGCGGAGTCTCGCCTCCCGTCCAACATACTCGCTATTTTATGACGCGGTACGCTTGAAAGACAGAAACGTAAGTGGTAAACAGCGCATGATACATATTTTTCCCCCGATATACCGAACGAAGATTTTCCATAATTTAGAAATTCCTGTTCCCGTCATGCGTCACATGAGTAGTAAATCGCTTTGGATTTCTGCTGTTTCCTCTTCGTGTTTCGCACTTTTCTTTCTTTTTTTATAAATTTTTCGATAAATTACTTGTAAAAATATTATTCAACAATTCAAAACAAAAACTTTCTTTTTTTCCTTTAATAATCATGAAATAATTATACGCAACTGTACATCTAATAATAGAAAAAAAAAATTCATGATATGGAAATCGTTCAGATATAACGGTTCTTAAAAATTATCAGTTAAAAATCAGTGTTCCGTTAGATTATCGTTGCCATTTAATTTCCGATAATGAGATATCTAGTTTTCTAGATCTTTCGCAGCAGATTCGCCAGCGGACGTGTCAAGCTGCGGACGTAATAAATCTATTAAAACTGCGAACGTAAAAAAATCTACACGCACACTTACCGAACAAAAGATAACATTGACCATGAACAATCAGTGAACCAGTCGGCGGCAATAACATCTTCGCGAATGAAGACGTTAAATCGCAAGGTAATAAATTATCCTTTGAGTACGGCGGAGAGAGAGAGAGAGAGAGAGAATGCATTACCTAG